AAGCAAGCATCTGCCATCTTTTTAAGCTGCAAAAAAAATATAATGTACACTATATAATACCATTTTTTCTTGGAAATCCTGCAGGCAGAATTTAGCAGAAAAGCAAAGGAATAAATCATAAAGCTCTTTTTTTACAAAACCCCAGGTCTTCAAGCATTATAAATACATGTAGTGTGTTAAAAGTAAAGACTAAGGGAAAATGGAAAGCCCTGTAACAGGAAGATGTGTGTTCTGGGACACTGCCTTGGTGAACTCACCTTCTCTCAGGTCAGCCAGTTTCTCCAGATCAGCCAGGTGTCTTTGAATTGAAATATGTTTGTCTAAAAAGCAGAAATATTTAGAGGTTAAACACTCTTGGTTTAAAAATTTTCAGTTTACTGCTACTTTTCTGTGCATCCTTTCAAACCTAACACTGTTAGGAAATGACTGTAGTACCAGCTGGAATCCTTATTTGTATCCTTTACCTTCCACGGCAGCAGGAATGATTGCAAAAATTAATCCCCAGAAAGCCTATTTAACAAGATCTGTATATTTTCATATATTTCTACTTCTTTTTAATACTGACACACATCAAACTTTTAAAATTGGAAATGTGAAAAAAACAAGCTAAAAAGATCAAGTCACATTCCATTTACTGCTGGTTTTGATGCAAATCATTCCCAAAGCAGTACAAAAACATCCTATGAACTGTCCGGCAAAATTAAAATATCAGTCAAAAGTGGACAAATTTTAACAAAAATTATTCACTGTAGAGCCAGAATACATTAAATTCTATCACTTTTTTTTTCCTTTCTCTTGGGAAACTGTTCAACCTTTACATCTACCACCTGATTTTCCAACTTATCAGTCTAGTGAAGAATTTGTTAAAAAGAAGAGAATTAGCTTCTCCAATAAATCTGCTTTATTGGTTCCAGCACACAGACCATCCACCTTCAGAGTGACACTGATTTTATAGTGACTTCAACTGTCACAGTGTTATTTACAAGATCAATCTTCAGGTTTTCTTAGGAGAGACAAAGTAATTGATCCGTGTGCTCAGGACACACAGGTGAGTTTTAAAGTTCCAAAATGAGATTTCACACGCTCCCTTCACCTTTCTCCCTATTTCTATACCTCAAGCACACAACACAACTAGTAAGAGTTTAAGAGCAAACCTCGTGGATAATCAGACGATACATCCAAAATGTTGCCATCTGATTCCCTTGTAGGTTCTTCCTCCGTTCCTTTTTCTTCCATTTCCAATTCTGACTCTTTGTTGCTTTTCACTTTGTCAGAGTCAGCCACACCATCTTAAAATCAAAACCACCACATGGAAGTGTCAGTGTAACAACGATACAAACCTGTTCATCTGTTTCCTATAATCTGATGCTGACTAAAAGCGTGAAGGAGGAAAAAACATTACCAAACAATATGTTGGGGAATGAGATTAATTATCACTCCAATTATCCTTGAAACCCCAGTGGAATAATGCCATCCTGGACAGCCTGAAACTATTCAACTCACCATCTGTATTATCAGATGTTTAAGGTGAACAAAATAATATTTATATTTTTTCTGGAAGATAGCAAAGGAAAGCAAACAAGGAGGAGGTCCAAATCCTCCTAACAATATACAACCGTCTGGGAAAGTCTGATAACTGTTTGAATCACAAACAATTCCAAACTACTCTTACCAGACTTGTTTGTGATTCAAACAATCATGGAAAAAAGAAGGAAGTAAGGAAGGATTTTGCTATTATGGGGGTTAAGTGCCGATGCCATCAGCACTGGCAAATGAATGACCTCCTGGGGCAGCCTGAGATGGGCCTGATGAGGAAATTTCAAGGACTGAAGGAGATGAGTGATGGCACAATAAAATGACAAAAAACAGCCAAGTCCCCGGATCAAACTTGGGGAAAATAACTGAAGGAAGAGGCAGAAATCCTCAGAAGCTGTGGGTCCCACTCCCCACCAAGGGGCAGCAGGAGGCACTACGGAGGGATTCAGAAAGCCACTCGTGGAATGATCCCACAAGCTTCCGAGGGACACGTGGGACTAGGAAAGTTCCCAACATGGCCTGGCTTTGCAGCCACTGAGGAGCAACAGAACAGGCTAAGGTTCCTCAGCCGGGGTGGCACAGAGGTCTGTAAGATGGCGGCATGCAGAGAGAGCACAGGAGTCAGCCACTGGCTGCCTCTCCCAGCACAAAGGCTGGGATGCACCACACGGAGTTACAAACTGGTTTGTGTTTGAGGTTATTCCCTGAAGATCCATGGTTGGTTGTGCTCTGGATGGGGCTTGGAGCTACCTGGTCTAGTGGAAGGCGTCCCTACCCATGGAAGGGGCTGGGAGACTGGGGGATCCTTAAGGTCTCTTCCAACCCAAACCATTCCAGGATTCCACGATTTTACTAGTCTTCCCCAGCTGGATCTCACAGCAGTTCTTCAAATTCCCTTAGGGGCCTTCTGTTTGTTTTCTTTTTAACAGTGGGTACAAATATTTGTTATCACAAAAACAAAGCAAAAAGAGGAAATGGGATACCTCAAGGCAAGGGCTCAAGGAATTGTTTTAAAAGACAAAAGCAAAAGAAAAATTATTCTACCTATCTTGAAATGTATCAGGACTGCACTGCTACTCAAGAGAACATTGCTGTGTTCCTCACAGACCGGTTTTTAAACTGACAACTCACCTAAGACAGAATTGTAATACCTGCCTAGAGCTCTATTAAAAGTTGTATGATTCCTGGTGATGGTTTCTACACAATTTATTAATAGAAAGGCAGAAAGAAAATGAATAAGGATTTTTGGTAGGAAATCCGTAACAGTTATCCATTATGACTATGTGTGCTGTAAGAAAATTTGAAAGAGTTATAAAAATGCAGAATAAGAGCCCAGCAGTGACAAAAATCCACCACATCTGGAGTGTCTGCATCTTCAGAGCACGTGCAGAGGTTAAAATAATTGAAAAGGAGAGTACGCGTATATATATAAAAATGTAATTAGTATGTCAATGCACATTGAGAGAGGTAAACTTTCACACCGAATGCTGAAGAAAAGCAGGCTGCTACCGAAGCAAGACTGTAGGATTTTTTTTAAGTGCTTATGAGGAATCACTAACTACGCACAAACAGAATAACGCTTCAGACAGACTAAATTATACTTAAACGGTAAAAAAATTAGAGGAGTCGGTTCACTTGAACCGTAAGGCTGGCTACACAGGCAGGGACTGGAAACCCGGCACAACCAGTTTACAGCATCCCAGAAGGGGCCAGGTCGCAAGGGACCGCAGTTCCACCCCCCTGCTCCAGAAGGGTCTTCCTAGAGCACATGGCACAGACTCGTCTGGGCTTACAATCCTGCGGGGAAAAGGTGCGGGGCTGAGCCCCCCTCACCGCCGGCTGCCCACGGGCCCTCAGAGAACACCGAACGACCATCAGGGGCAAAACACCGCTGGGTTCGGGGGAAAGGAGGGACGCGAGCGCGGCATGGCGGGCTCAGAGCGGCCCGAGGCCCGGCGGGAACAGGTCGGGAAAGCCGGGAGCCTCTGGCTTCCAGCGCTCCACAACGAGGGCGGAGGTAGCCGGGAGGCAGCCCTGGGGTGGAAATTCAAACGCGCCCGGGGTGGAAATTCAAACGCCCCCAGGGCTCCTCACGGCGTCCGCCCGCCCTCAGCCCCCGGCCGGCGGGCCCGGCTCCCCCCGCCCTCCCTCAGCCCCCTCCCGGCCCTCACTGAGCGCCGCTGTGTCGCCGCTGCCTCCATGGTTATGGTTATGGTTCTCGTTATGGTTCTCGTTATGGTCCTCGTTCTTCTCCTTCTCCTCCTCGTCCTCCTGCTGCCGCTGCAGCGCGGCCTCGGCCGCCTCAGCCGCTGCCATGTTCGGTGCGCGGAGCCCGCGCGGCGCTCCCACACGGGCGGAGCGGCGCTGCCGGGCAGCACGGCCGGCCCCACTCCGCCTACACTTCCCAGCCACGCTCTGGGGCCGGCCCGGCGCGCACCGCGGCGGGAGGAGGAGCGGTGGCGGAGCTGTGGGGGGTATCCGCGCCGGGCAGGACGGGGGTGGTTGGGGCAGGGACGGACCCGAGCCGGCACAGCTTCCACCCCACCGGCCACACGGACCCGCCGCGGGAGGAGCGTCCGAGCCGGGTGAGGCGGCACCGTACGGGTGTCCTGTGGGGAGGGACGAGGAAGGGAAGGGGAAAGGTACGGGAAATAGGAAGGGACGGGAGACGGGAAGGGAGGGTGTGCTGTCAGTGCCTGAGGTGCTGTGAGGGCCCCCGGGCTCAGCCCCACGCGGAGAGCGAGGCTGGAGCTGCCACCCCTCAGCCCCCCGGACCGGCTCCCTCAGAGCCCTGTGCCTGTCCCCCCTCAGGGTGGGCCCGCTCCCCGAGCTCCCTGCCGGGCTCTGGGGTCAGGGAATCGCCTTTTACAGCCCTCGGGAACCCCCGGTTCGAGTGCGCTGGTTTGTGTAGAGGGTGGCGTGGCTGTCGACAGCACCTCCGCCCCGGGGGAGGGAAAGAAGGCGAGAGTTGTGAGCGTTACACGATTGGAACTGCCTCGCAGAATCGGTTGAGTTGGAAGAGACCCCTGAGACCATGGAGTCCACCCTGTGCCCGATCCCCACCTTGTCAGAACAAGCGCAGAGCACCGAGTGCCACGGCCGGGCTTTCCTGAACACCTCTAGGCACGGTGACTGGAGCCCCTGGACGCAGCCCCTGCCGATGGCTAATGGGCTTAAAACTTGGTTATACGACTAAAGGTTAAAGGATGTTTGTCTCTGTTTGTTTGCTGGTACAAAGTGGGTGTCTCTGGAGCAGCTGGAGAGTTAATTACCATCCTTTGCTGCTCTGAAGTTCCCTTAGATGTGAATGATTAACCCTGTCGCGATCTGCTGTGGCTCTGTAATGAGAAAACAAAAGACGGGTATTTGAGTATTTTTTTCTCTGTGCAGTTAACATTTATTTTTATATTAGCTGGAACTAAGAACTTGACACAAATAATAATGGCAGCACTCTCTTTTCTTAGGCTTTGAAGATGTCTAGAAAGAAACTGAAGAAATTAACTGGAAAGGAAGACTGTTTGGATGGCCAGGATGAGAATGTAGGAGCCAAAATATTATTACTGTTATTATCTTAATTTGATCCCCTGTGTTCAAGAGAAAAACATGAATTGTTTAGGAGCCTTATGATAGAAGAATGAATCCAATTTAAATATAGGGTCATAAAGAGCAGCAGAAGGCTTGAGTTGGTCAGAGAACTTATATTTGTGTTTATGTATATAACTTATGTTTATGTAGCTTATGTTTTTCACCAGGGCTGTGAGTAGTGTAGTCATCAGAAAACAAGAGGCTTTTTTATTTTAGTGTATCTTCCTGGCTGAGGAAAGTTGAGCTTAGAACTGTTACCAAAAGCATTGCTGTTTTCTGGGGTTGTTCTGTATCTTGGATCATACGCTTTTATTTTCTGATGAAAAGTTGTACTTTTTGCAGCATTTTGATGAGTGACTCTTCAAGTATTTCCTTCTAAGCACTGACACATAAATTAATGACCAAAATTCTCAGCATAATCTGGTATGTACTTGTATCTAGTGAGTGAGCTTTCACTGAATCACTCATAAAATGCAGGTGCTGCAGGGGTGATCATCTTTCTGGTCATTTCTTGCAATGTTCTTTTTTCCCCTTGGATTTTGCAGGGAATATTTGAAATAAGAGAGCTTTTAATTGTCTTATCAAAATTTTTTTTGGAAGTGTTAATAAATGAGCAGGGTGTTATGACCTTATAAACTCAGTTATTCATATTAGACATGTTTTATAGAAAATGTTGTTGAAAGCCAAATATTTGTACCTGTTTTTTTTTTTCCTCCTGAATTCCTTGTGATTATTCAATTTGGTTTTTAACATTAACTTATTCTAAGGTGTTTGTTGTTTGTTTTTTTTACTCCTGTAGTACAAAGGGTAAACACCTGGCTTAAAACCTCCTGCTGTAGCTTATTGCCATTGCTGATGCATCTACCAATTGGAAGAATACAGTTCTAAGTGTTGCCTGATTTCAATTAGAGGCAGCATTAAATATTAAATCATTAAATATTGCTTTATGCCGACATTGGCCAGCAGAAGCAACAGTGAGAAGCCAACCTATTTAACAGCAAAAGGATGAGAAACCTCTAATAGTGCACACTTTCTTATGAAAGTGTGTTTTATTTTAACTGCAGTTCCCTCTATAAGCCCATGAATTTTTTTTTCTTTCAGACTACTGAAGACACAAGATCTTACAAGAACACTATGAAAGGAGAGACAGAACTCCAGAGGTAAATTCGTGCCTCTGTGTTCCTGTTCCATTAAATGGAACTACTTAAAAATGTAACAATCACAGACTTTTTTAATGCTGAATTGAAGAATTTTTCAACCTTTCATTAAATAAAACAGAGTATTTTAACTGGTCTTTGGATATTTTAAATCTAGTGTAAAGTAAATAATAATTACTGAGTATTTTCTCTGCTCTTAGGAAAACTGACTAGGAAACCTTCTTCTATCATTCATAATTTCTGTAGGATGTTACTGTATTCCCATCACTTGTTCCTTTTCCAAGTTCTCCAGTCAGTGCAGGATGAACAGTTTCAAAGCAGTGTGGGTTTTGACTCTGTGAGCAAGCTGACCTTTCAGGGTGACACACCTCCTTTATCATTAAACTGCTGTTAAAACTTACCTGTGTGATCAGAAGAAACTCAGCTTTGTAGGGTCTCTCAAACTGGCAGATGCCGAATGCAGAACATTTTTTGGAAGCTGGAATAACTTTACAGTGGAGAAATGTAAAGCCTAAAAATGCTACGTCAAACTATTTTAAAGGACAGATGATGCTGCAAGTCACATTTCAGAGCAGACCAGACTGGTGGTCATAAATACTTAGCTCTAACTTCCTAAATCAAATGTAGGTGCCTTTTTTGTTGCTCTTTTGCATTAACTGAGCTAAATTATGTTGCTTTTGTTGTGATGCTTCTGTAGATCCAAACCAGAGAAAGATGGGCAAGACAAGAAGAAGCGACACCAAAGTTTTACTGTTTCTCATGATGCTGATGAAAGATCCCAAGGAAAATCTCCAAATAGAAGCAAAACTCCAAACAATTCTTCAGTTCAACCTGAAAAGCAAAAGAAAATAGTTATCCAATTTAAACCCAAAGAAATTAAACATGGAAAAATCAGCTGCACTCCTGACGCAGTGACTGTGAACAAGGAACGAAGTCGCTCCGAGGGAACAGAGAAAAGGCTCTGGTACACCTTTGAACTTCAGAGGGAGAAGGCCCTGAAGAAGAAGAGAGAGAAAGCTGAACTCTGCAAGCTCAAGCTAAAAGCAGAACAAGCCATGATAGAGAAGTTTAAGTCGTCAGTATCCGAAGTGCCACATAAAAAGGCAGACAGCTCAAAAAAGCGGAGCGAGGATGGCAGAATTCCAAAGAAGCCACCCGGCACCTCTGTGGGGACAGAGTGCGGTGGCAGACCGGTCACTAAGGAGTCGCATGTACTATCTGGCCTTTGGGAAGAAGAGGAGAAAGAAGAATATAAGGAGTTGCCTGTGAAAAAGAGACACATGAGTAAACACAGATCAACAGACTCTTCAGCCGAGACACCTTCACGATGGGACTCCCGTAAGTGGAAAAAGCACGTTGCTGGTTCTCCTCCTGAACCTTCTGGATGTTCAGGGACTGAAGAGAGGGACTTTGAAGCCACACAAGTATGTTTTAAGCAGGTAACGAGAACCCAGTTGTTTGTATTCTGCAGGTAGATGTTTGGGGCTGGTTCCTGAGTGGCAGAGTTTTACATAATCAGACTGGCTCCCTCCAGAATTCAACCATGTTTCATGGCTTAACTAGGGGGATTTTTGTGATCCCAGTGTAAACCCTGATAACACGTTCCTCTGCTAAATGGTTAAACAGAGCAGAAGACTAAAGGTCTTGCATATTTGGGTTGTGTCTGCAGACGCTTTCACAGCTTTGCTCTGCTGCTGAGGGTGTGCAATACTTCCATTTAGGTATAAATCAACAAGAGTTTTTCTCTGAGTTGACATGATTGTATCATTTTTTAGGTGAATGGACTTGAAGCAATGAAAACTTGCTGCCAGACTTGCTGGCAGAGTGATGCCAGGAGAGCTTGGAGTGGCTCTTGGGTTAAATTGGTACTTTTGCTGCAGAACTTCGCGTTTGGCTATGAGGGGTTCATTTGTGAGTTCAGGCCGAGGTGCAGAGCCAAACACAAGTTAGATCTTGAGCATCGGGTGACTCTCTTTGTTGTTGCTCTTGTGTAACATGCCCAGAATTTTTTGGGATTTCAGTTAATGCTACGGTAGCGTGGGCCTTTTGTGTGTATGCAGAGGTAGTAATTACCTGCAAAATCCTGGAATCACAGACCCCATGCTCAAGCAGGGTCAGCCAGAGCAGGTTGTGCAGGACAAAGGATGGAGACTCCAACGACCTCTCTGGGCAGCCTGTTCAAGCACCTTCAACCCCAAAAAGTGGGAGTTTAATGTTCAGGTGGAAGTTGCTTTGTAATCCACTGTTATTTTTTTCAAAAGAGGGCTCTACTGAAATGGTACTGTAGATGCTAAAAAACATAAAATTTATGTTCCCTTTTCAATTCACTTGGGAATATTCAATGTCCTTTAAAAAGGACTGTAAAAGTCTGATTGTTCTACTTTTATTCCTACTTGTTCTTGGATTTGGGGGGGCCGTGCACGTCTGAGTCCTACCAGGAAGGTGAGGTCAGAAAGCCTGTGCCTGTCCAAAAGGTGAGTGATGGACTTGTTTAACACTGCACAGCTCTGTCCTGGAACTCCTGACATGGGGATCACTTGTTCCTCAGTCTTCCTTGATGTTTTGTGGTGTTGTGAGGGTGTTTTTAATCCTTCCTGCAGAACTTTGAAGACTTTCCAGCCCTTCAAGACACTCGGAGCCCAGAAACAGACCAAGAGGTTGGTAATGCTTTCGTTTGACACTTCTGAGTTGTATTAAAAAGCAGAGGCACTGAGGTTGTGTAGCTGGACAATCCCATGACCTTTCCTGGTATTTGGCATTGTTGGCTTATGATCCGCCTTTCAAAAATCTGGAGTATTTATTTCAGATGCTAAACAAACTTGCTGAAGTGCTGCTAATCAGGAACTTTCTGAGATAAAGGTTGTCTTTCTGTTATCTGCAAGGGGCCCTCATAGTTGCTCACATATTCCAGCTGTCTCATTTTCCATCCTCTAACTTTTTAGCTGGGAGAAGGACTGTTTTTAATAAGTACCTGTGAGGAAACTTGCAGTTTATGTAGCAAAAAATGGAACAGAGTTTTTGGGTACCAGCTAGAAAGGCCATAAATCTTCTTTCCAGGACATATTTTCGATGCCTCCAGCGGAGCATGTGCAGAAGTTCTCGTGGTTTTACATCTCTTGTAACAACCTAATGGTTTTCATACATCATTTTGAGCCAGTTTTAACAGCATTAACGCAAAAGGATCTTTTTGGGGGACAATTATGAAGTGCTTCCTTCCAGTGGATTGCATCCAAGCCCATTTTTTCCCTGTAGATGCAGATAGTTGAAGACTTGCACGTTGCCCGTGTGGAGAAGAGGATGGCTCTGTCTGTAGTACAGGCTTGTGGAGAACTTACAAGCATGGACATTGATCTTCCAGAGCAGGATTTAAATATTTCTGCTGGTATGTCATGGTGCTCTTTGCTCTCTACTTGCAGCTAGTAATTGCAGTTGGCTGATGGTCTGAGTAGGCAGTACACAACTGATTATTTCACTGCTGCTTTGGTTTCTCTTTTTTCTCTTCTTTTCCCTCAGAGGCTTTTACTTCTGGTCTGAACATACTGGTGGTGATTGACACAAACATCATGATTAGTCACCTTGAGTTTGTCAGATCCCTGAAGTCTGAGGATATACCAGGTATGTGAATCCATTGTAAGGAAAAACAGGTGTTGTAACAACTTGGAGCCGCCTGGAGAAAAGCAAAGCTGGGCTCCTGAAAAGGGCAGCAGGTTTCGTGCAGCGGCAGAAGGCTGGTTCTGGGAGCCCAGACAAGCGGCCCCTCAGGGGATGTCCAGCCATGGAAGTAGAACCTACTGTGCTTATCCTTCCCTACCTGCACAGAGTCATGGCAGACGTTCCCAGGAATGTGCTTGGATTCTTGGAGCTAAATAAGTCTTACCCTATCTAAGAACATAATTTAAGCATTTAATCCATTACCAGTGATAATTGTGTTTTCTATTCTCCTTTTACCATTTCTTTTTCTAGAAATCTAAGAACATTTAAAATCCTGTAAGAAGTGAGTCAGTGCTGTGTTGCTGTTTGGTAAAGGTCACAGAATTGAGCAGTTTCTCAGGAATCTAGGATGCAGATCCTGGCTTTAACATTTGGCTCTAATATATTGGGAAGCTTTTGGTAATTTAATGTTAGCAGGGTTAGGGTTGTGCATGTCAGTTCTTGGCAGGTATATTTGGAATCCAGCAGAATGCTTAGGATGCTTTGATTCAGCTCATGAACACACTCATTCCAGCCACCTGGAAAGTGGCTTTAACCATAACTTTACTCTGGAGTAGTTTTCAGGAGAGTGTAAGACTGTATTTCACTTCCCATTTTGGGAACAGCGTTGCCTTGTACACTGGGATGCCTTTTTAGAACATTGCAGCTCCCGGTTTCTGGTCCTGCACCAGAACCACCACGTTGAGAAGGTCACAGATTCCTGACAAAGCAGATGGTTATTAATGTATTTTTTCAAAATTACATCTCATAATGTGAATGAGAAAGAAAACAGTTGAAGTGTTTGTTGTGAGTGGACCAAGTTCAGGCCATACTTACACACCAATAAACCCCTGGTGCAATATCCATACTCCTCTTCCTGGCTTAGGAATGCTGGTTGGCAACTGGAGCAAGCCGTGGCTCCATGTTGGGGTGCTTGTTTTGGCTCAGTGACTGTTGTGGTCATCCAGGTGTTTGCAGCCTGTTATTTCAGCTGCCGTGTCATCTTACAGCAAGTGTGTGACAAGGTAATTGCTTGCAAATATACTTTATAATGTTGCCACACACTGTTGTCAGAGTGTTCTGTTGATTAAATTTGTGTCTTCCTTTTGTTTGCCTAATATTGTCATTCTTCCATGTAATCGGTGTAGTGCCAGTTTGAGGTTAGGTTAGAAAGAGGGAACTTGGCCTTTTCAGTTCTTTTTTAAAGGCCAGATTCTCTTGAGCAAGGATTATGAAAGCTACTGGCAAAACGTGTGAACTTGCATAGATACAATGTTTGAATGAAAAGGTCTCTGTAGTAGTTTGTGTGGCGCTTCAAAATATCATCTCTTGGTTGTGGTTTGTTTCTTTCCTTCCAGGTGTTGACAGACTTGCTTTAATAATTCCCTGGGTCGTCCTACAAGAGCTGGACAATTTGAAGAAGGGGAAGATGTTGCAGCATGTCCGGGACAAAGCGATCCCTGCAGTCCAGTTCATCTACAAGTGTCTCAAAAACCAGGATTCCAAGCTGTGGGGGCAGTCCATGCAGCTGGCTTCCCAAAAAATATGTAATATATGTGCAATCAATTGGTGTTTGGTACTGAATCCTTGGAGTTCACCCAGTGGGAACCTTGGCTCTACAATTTGTGTCTAATGGAGTCTTCACCCTGCAGTTTGCTAATTACAATTAGCTAATAGGTGACAGCAGCCTTCCGAGCACCACCAGGGCTGGCCTGTGCAGACCCCTCATTAGTGTTAGTGCTGTGTTCAGTGTTCTTTGGTCAGGTCTTCCTCAGTGGCACTTTACACTTCTCTGTCCTGTTTTGGGGGGGTATTACATTTACAAACAATCCCATAACTGCACTGAACGGTTTCTCACCCTGGCTTTGCAGATGGGCTGAGCGATGAGAACAATGACGACCGTGTCCTGCAGTGCTGCCTGCAGTACCAGAGCCTCTTCCCTGAGGCTGTTGTCATCCTCTGCACGTGAGTCCCTGCGTGGGTTTAGGTCTCGTGCCAGATGCACTGTTGGCAAAAAGAAGAGCTGTTCTGCAGCAGAGCTCTTTGAAGGACAATCTGTCTGAGAATAGAGGGATATCATAAACTGTGAAGATTGTAGATGTAATCACCTTCATGACAGGCCTGAAGCAGAATTAAGTTTACTCCATATTCAATTTTAAAACTTGTAAAGTGTAGCTTTCTCAGATTTTAGCCTGGTTTCTCATATATATTACTGAAGTTACAAAACAGAAAAAATGTTTGTACTAATGATTAAGATACTTCATCACTGTTCCCAGCCAGGTGGGCAGAAGCAAACAAGGGGTTAATCTTAGGGAGAAGCTGGACATGGATTTGCTGCTGTTCCTGTTTTGTGAAGATAACAGCTGACTTCTGAGTATTGATTTTAATGTGATAGAAACAGGTGAATGGGGTTTTTGAGGGCTCTACTGTAACAACTTGCTCTGGTCTCTGCTAGAACCAGTTCCTGCCTAGTTCCAGTAAGTGAGGTTAACACACTGGGCACCAGTTAGTTTGTTTAAATTGGCAGGAGTGGCTGCTGAAAATACCATTTCAGTCACAGTATTGGTGGTGATTTTAGGTTCCGGCAAAGAAGTGGCTTCAGAAGTGCTTTTCATCCAAAAATCCCTTTATCCTCTCAATATAAGCAATGAGAATTTTTGAGAAAACACTAACATCCAACTTTGTCCTGGATCTTTGTAGTGGTTCTGCTGGAGCAGAACCTCGGGGCAGCTTCTGGGATAGTGATTTGGACCATAGAACAGTAGAAAAGGGTCTCAAAAATGAGAATTAATTGTAGCAATCAAGTAAGAGTACTGTCTTGTTGCCTTGTTTGCTCTCTGAGGTCACTGGAACCAGGCATCATTGCTGCAGTATTTAGAGCTGTTTTCTTAAACCTAGAACCTTAAACACTTTTCAGTATGTTTCTAATTTCTTTTCAGAATAGATGCTTTACTTCATTTTCTAGTTTAATTTTCTGATCTGCTTCTAATTGCTTGAGGAAAAAAAAAATCATACACAACGAAGTTCACAAAACCAGTTTTCCAGATGTACCTTTTGCTCCGTGTGTTGCTTTTATGTCAGCAGTTAATTCTGTCCTCTCCTAGAGATGATAAAAATCTGTGTAATAAAGCCATTGTGAGTGAGGTCAAGGCATTCTGCAAAGCTGATTTGGTCACTGCTCTGCAGAACGTGCATGTGAACAGGCACCAGAGCTGTGGTGAACAGCAGCCCAGACGTGGTGAGTTTGAATGGAACGGTTCCTACGCTGACTGCAGTTTTCCTATACTTTGGATCCATAGGAATGTTTTTTGTTTGGGGCAGATCTGTTGTTTTGAAAGGTACATGGATTTCTGAACATTTGAGACCTTTTTTAAAGCATCTGTCTCGAAGTTCTAGGAAATTCAAGTATGATGTATTTCTGTTTCATAGAAAAAAAACACAGCACCAGTTTCCTGTGTTTAGAGTCATTTAAAAATTGCCCTGAACCGTTCAGGACTGAAAGAGGTCTTTCATTTTTTCAAAGTTTGCAATATTAAGGAGTGATCATCTTAAACTCGGTGATAATCCCGCTGGCTGTACGTAATCTAAGTTACTTAAGGAAAAAGGAAATGTGGAGTAATATCACAAATGAGTAATGCCCCGGGGAAATTAATCTTTGTGGTTAGTAGCTCATAATTAAAAATGCCCACAGTACAAGTGGATATAACTAGAAATACTTGAAGCCTGCTGAGGTGTAGCTGCTTTATAAACATATATAAATAAATATAAAATTTATTATATTTATATAAAGTGCAGTTTGTCTTTATTTATGAGGATGAGTTCTCTGTGTATTATCAATACAAATGAGATATAGAAACAGTTGCAATAAATACCTTTTGTATCATTGGTTTGGCAGATACAGCATTTGAGAAGACACAAGGAAGTGATGCTGGTTTTACTGCACAATTCCCAAATGTGCTTCCACACCTTGAGAAGAACTTAGGAGAAGCTTTGTCTTGTATTCTGGAGACTGAGATGAAACTTGCATTCGGAAACCTGTGGATGGAGGTGGGTTTTTAAATCATCTTCCTTGATATTTCAAGAATTAAGAGGTTTGAATGTCCTTGATATTTTAATGATATTAATACCTGTGCTAAGCCAAACACCTCAGTCATCCAGTTCACTGACTGTGGACAACTCAGGGTTCATTTCTAATATTTCATTTTATAGCAAGGTTATTCTATTTGACCAGTAATGACTGTGCAGTATTTTAACAGAATTTTAATAATGCAGTGGCAGAGATGCTGGCTGCTCAGTGTGAATTTTCAGAATTCTTTTTATTAGTTGCATTAAATTTCTATTTATTTCCGATTTTTCGAGTCTGGGTAAATCACTGCATTGTAATTATGTCCTGCAAGAAGCCCTTCCATCACATTCTGTGAGATACTGGGGCTCTTCCCACCGGAACAGATGTTTTGAGATACCTTGTGGATAAAATTGTTCACAGCTCAACTGATTACAGGGCGGATACAGAATTACAGGGGTGTTCATGAGAACCTGCAAACGCTCTTTCAAAAGTATTTTGAACAGAAAACATGCACAAGAACAAGGCACTTTAAATTGTCCATGCTTTGGTTTAGATTCCATTTCACAGCTGATGGGGGTGAGTTAGAAGTTTAAATTTCATGCGGATAAGCCTCTGTGGCTTTAAAAAATCCCCGGAAATTCACGGGGTGACAGTTAAGCTTTTGGTCACTTCTGTTTAACTTAGTTAATATCTGTTGACATCTCTTCAGACTCTGGTTTCACTTGTAATGAATACATTTTATTTTTTTGCAATACACATATGTTACTTCATTTGTATGTAGTCAACAATGTTTATTTCTATTTTTTAGCAATACTAGAAAATCAAAGGCATATTTACAGTTGTTCTGGCTTTTGTGCACGAGTAACACATTTAAATCACTTTGAGATAACCCAGGAGTATTTGGATTTTGTTTTTTGAGGAAAGAGGAACCAAAGATCGTGGGAGTGATTGGACATTGTACATGAGCATCACTATTCAACCCATGCTGCTGAATCAAATCTTTATTTAATAGGTAAACTTGTTACATGTGAATAAAATCTTATTTTTGAGAAATCACTGAAATTCCACTTCAGCAATCACAAATCATCCATTATTGGAGAACAGAGAGAACAGAGCAGTTGTGAAATGCATGGAAATAGGTGTAAATAAAAACCAGCCTTTGAATTGTAACATATTCTCTTTCAGATCCTGTATCTGAAGCCGCCGTGGACATTGGTAAACCTACTGAAGTGTTACAAAAAACACTGGATGTCTGTTTTTGGTTATGTGGTGCCAAGGAGCTTACTTTCAACTGTTGAGTGTCTCTCTAAGCACCTTTGTACAGGTAAAAATCCCTGAGAATGTTAACTGTAAACTTGTAAAAAGCCTCACTGTTCTGGTTATAGTTACAGACTAGGTGTATTAATGGTCACCAACTATTTTGAAAAAGCAAATAATCCTTCTCCCTCCTTTGCCCCCATGTTATGTGGGCAAATAATCTACAAATTTGCCAAAGAAATTACGGGGGAGCAAAGGACACTTGATGTGGTAGATGAGGACAGGGAGATTTGTTTTCAAAAAAGGCCAACAAGAAAACCCCACAAACCTCTGACTTGTTTTAAGATATCTTTAAGATTTGATTTTAACAGATATACCTGTTAAACTCACCCAGAGGGTGGTTGGCACTGAACAGGCTCCCCAGGGCAGTGGGCACAGCCCCAAGGCTGCCAGAGCTGCAGGAGGGTTTGGACAACGCTCTGAGGGACAGGGGGGATTGTTGGGGTGTCTGTGCAGGGCCAGGAATTGGACTGGATGGTCCTGTGGGTCCCTTCCAGCTCAGGACATTCTGGGATTCCATGGTTCTGCCTCTCGTGGGATATTTGAGTATTAAATTTGCCTGCCAAGACTGATGACTCCTAACAGGTTTGGTTTTTTTTCTTATATTGATGTCTAAATATCAGATAAACCGTTGGACTCCTCATCAGTGCGTGTCTTGCTCCAGGAATCCAAAAAACTCCTCCATGCTTTCAGCTCCAGGTCAGACTACAACGGTGTCCTACCCCAGGCTTATGCTGCAGTGACTAAACTGTGTGACAGGCTGGGAGAGGTAAGAGGAGCTCCAGTGCTTGTTCACCTCATCTCCGAGTTGTTCCATGATCATAATTCAAACCTGGCTTAGGTTTCTTAATTATTCCCCTAATTTGCCCTAAGTTTTGCAGGAAATGTTGTTGCTGGTGTCTTTAAATAAGACATCAACTTTAACTTTGATTTTAATGTGGTGAATATCTGCCAGTATGTAGATGTTTGGGAGACTCCTTTTCCCCCCCATTATCTGTGTTAGTATTGGGAGGGTGACTGAAAAACATTTTTTTTGTCTTTAGTTTTCTGTTGCATTTGTAGCTGATGGGCACTAAAGATTAAAATTGCTGTTTCTCCTTCTGAAGAAGGAATTCCACACTATGAGTCCCACACTACTGCTCTTAGTCGTGTCATTTCAGCTTTCCCTGGTACTACACATGAAGAAAGGAGTCTCCTGTGGTTTGTGGTGGTTACTGGGGGTTGTCCTGGCACTGACAAGTTTATCCTCACACCCAGCTTGTCTCTGAGCTGCTGTGGAAGGAATTTCAGTGTCCTGGTTTGTGGTTACTGTTAGTTGTGTATGTAGTGTCCTAAAAACTGGAGTAGAGAGCACTGATGACTTGAAATATTTCTGTGTGTGGGGAAGAATACAGGTCAGCATAGCTGTAAAGAGTTCTCTGTGGCTTTGGAGAGAGCTGAAAGGGAGAGGAAGGTCAATGAGAAGAATGATCTGTGCTGTGACTTCAGCATGTCAGCCCATACCCTGCAGTTCTGTGCCATGAGAAACGACCTCCGCCTGAAAACCTTGGGCAGAAATTCCTCCTTGTGAGGGTGGGCAGGCCCTGGCACAGGGTGCCCAGAGAAGCTGTGGTTGCCCCTGGATCCCTGGAAATGTCCAAGGCCAGGCTGGACAGGGCTCTTGGAGCAACCTGGGCTGGTGGAAGGTGTCCCTGCCCAGGGCAGGGGTGGAACTGGGTGGGCTTTAAGGTCCCTCCCAACCCAACCCATTGAGAGATGTTTTGGATGCAGAGATGTAATCAACATGTCTAGCACAATTCAGCCTTGCTTTTTGAGCACTGCTTTAAAAAAACCTGTTAGAAGTGTGTAGAAGTGTTCTAGTTTTCTTAAGTTAGGAACCAAATACATTCATTATTTGTTTGCTGAACTGTTTTATAAGGTGAGGGCAGACAGTGAACAGGATTTATCAGAAGACATCATGGTTCTTTCAGAAAATGCTGAAAAAATGGAAGCCACGACACCCAATCTGCCAAACTCTGAAGAAAAAGAGTTACATCCAAGCTTTCATGTGGCTCAGGAAAGCAGGCACCAGGAAATCTGGTCGGTCCTTGAGGGTGTTTGGAACACAATGAACCTGTTCAGGTAAAGCTAAGGGAGCTCAGAATGTCTACAGAACCTTAAATAATTTTCAAACAAGCACACTTAAAAATTGAGCTTTTTTCCTTCACTATTTTAGAAAAAACCCTATTGATAATTAATCAAAATCAACCCCAAAAAACCCACAGAAAAAGCACACAACCTGTCACACAAAGAAGTTGGGAGCATGCAAATTGTTATGTCCTTCTGCTGCTCTTGTGGGCAGCAGCTGAAATAAAATGCCTTGGAAAATGTTGCTGAAAACCCCACAAATGTGAGACATTCGTGGAAATCTCATATTTATCCGTAAGAGGAGGCGTTCAAGCTCCAAGATTTCTTGGGGGTATTTCCTTCCAAATCCAGTGGAGTTGTACAAAAGTCTTTACCTTATTTTTAGTCTTTAATCAATTTGAAATAGAAAACATTTTCTTGTTAAGCAAAATCTTTCACTTTATAAAATCCAACTGCAGAGTCTAGTGATGAATTTCCTTTCTCATGTAAACTCAGAATTGCAGGAAATTAACCCCTTTTCCATCTGGGTGTTTTACCATTGCTTTTATTGTGGTTATTTTGGAAAAATCTGCTGGAAACTCGTTGGGATGCCATATTTTTGGATACAGTCTGGATTTGTTGCCTTTTCCAAGGAGGGCCTCTGAGTCAGTGTAGCCCAAAGAACTCCATTTCTGGAGGTCTGTTAAAGACTTACCTCATCAGCAGTGGTCACTCCATGTCTGCACTGCCATTTCTTCTGAGACTGTTGTAGACAACATGGGTTTAGTATAAATTTATATTTGACCTAGTTTTTTAATAGACAAAATACAATACACACAACAGATACTGAGTTTCTCTGAACTCTGAGGCTTCATATTAACTACTTTCCTCTGTCTCTTCTTGGTTTCTTTTTCATTTTAGTATTGAAATATTCCAGAAGTTGGACCCCAGTGCAGTGACTATGGCTGCAAAGTCTTCGTTTGAGGAAGCTTTTTTAGGCCTGCAAAAGCTGTTGGCAGCAGTGAAGGATATCCAGGAAGGAATTAGTAGGTGAGCATTTCAGCTGGGGCAGAAAAGTGAGTAACAGTCACCTGAAGTCCTAAAAGTCACTGAAATGTTTCAATACCAAACCACACTTGAGTTCTGTATGCTTGGTTATGTGATTCCCAGTAGAAATCTTGTGTCAAGGCTGCACAGAACCATTTCTTGGTAGCAAAAGAACATGAAACTGTTGCAGACAGATCTCTTGCAGTGAATTTTCTCTTCCATGGGAATAGAGTCCTGGGGTTTGTTTTTCCATATTTGATGCTGAGCGAGTTCTGCTCAGTGTAACTGGAGCTGGGACATGATTATTACATCAGCTCTCATGAGAGCAACTTTGAATAATTCAGAGTCATTGGCTTTCCAAATGCAAGGCCCCATGGAATGGGGGCAAATCTCCAGTGTTGTGAAGGACACAAAGTTTGGGGGCTTTGCTGTTCCCAATTCCAGAGTTTTCTTCAGGAGTCAAAACCCATGCCACAAGGATCAGCATTCTCCATTTAGGAAGGATCATATTCCCTCTGCCTTCATGGAATCACACAATTCCAGGATGGTTTGAGCGGGAAGGGACCTTAAAGCCCATCCAGTGCCACCCCCTGCCATGGGCAGGGACACCTTCCACCAGCCCAGGTTGCTCCAAGCCCCGTCCAGCCTGGCCTGGGACACTCCCAGGGATCCAGGGGCAGCCACAGCTTCTCTGGGCACCCTGTGCCAGGGCCTGCCCACCCTCCCAGGGAACAATTCCTTCCCAATATCCCATCTAAAACTACTCTGTCAGTGGGAGGCCATTCCTCCCCCCTTTTTCAAAGAGTGCAGAACAATAAAATGGAAGTTTCGGGAGGAATAATGAATTGACTTAATCCTTTTTTTTTACAGCAGTGCAGTATAAATCCATTCAAAGAATTGTCTCTCAAAGATAAATGATCTAAATATTATGAAAGTAGAAGCAGAAAATATGGGTAGAAATGTGAGATGGAGCAACTTTATACTAACAGGTTCATTTTATTGCTGGTGGGTTTGTTTCTCTAAGAAAATTGTTTTAATTCAGCAAGTTACTGCTAAAGTTTGCCTTTTTCATTCCAATCCCAAAGTTTTGCAAGAAATCCTGTGGTATCAGTTTACAGACGTGGTGGATGAGATTTAATGGGATTATGGTGTTTCATTACAAAATGTTCCACTTCAGTGACAGCTCCTCACCTCCCACAGTTCCCTTATGGGAGAGCTGTGTAAAAATAAAACCTGAAACACAGAGGATGATGCTTGGAATGGACAGTGTTCCTGGAGGCTTCCCTTTGGATGTGCCTGCCCTGCTGGGCAGGTCTGCAGTAGGTGGCATTGTGGAGCAAGGAATGGGGACAGTGCAGGAAGGGCTGTGGTGGTATGGGGTGGAGTGCAGGGAATTAAGGTCCTTGGAGACTTCTGAGTGGGTCTTCAAAGTGCCAGAAATCAGATTTATGACTCACTGCAGGTTTATACAGGAATTAAGGCAAAACATGAGAAGTTTTCATAGAATCCCAGAGTGGTTTGGGTGGAAAGGGACCTTAAAGCTCCTCTCGTCCCACCCCCTGCCCTGGGCAGGGACACCTTCCACTGGAAAGTGAGAACCTTCCCACTTCCATTTTGCTCTAAAACTGACCTTGGAGTGTATTTACTGTCCCTGATTTCTGAAAAAATGCCTTTCAGTGACTTACAGTTAAATTACATGATTGCAGGAAAAGTAGTGAAAAAACTCTAGGTTGAATATTTGGAGCTTTTAGTGCTAAAATGCAAATGGATTCTTTGTTCCCTTCAGGTCCTTGCTGCCCAGAGCAAAGATAGGAAACCACCTTGTGAAAGTTTGGAAGTCTCACAAATTATACTGAAAGTTCAGCTGCATTGAAAGTTTAGATTTTCAGATTGTCCAAAACAATGGGAAAAATGGATGACACGTGTTGAGATAAATGTGTGGGAGATGCCCTTAGTCATAAAAAAAATGACTCCATGAGTGGCACTACTGCAGCTGGTCAAGCCTGGTGACCAGAATGTGTTATTGACAAATACAGATATTAAAAAGAAAAAAAACCCAAACACCAAACAAAAAAGGCTGTTTAGTGGAAGATGTCAAATTAACAGCTTTTTGCATCTTACCCTTTTCTTGTAACTTGGGGATTTTTAATTTTATCTTGGCTTCTTCCTCTGACAGCACTGGGAGTAGAATGGAGTTTAAATTGCAGAATTCTGCATGCTAGAAATGTCTGACAGTACTTCAGCTCTAAAACTGAGGCAATAATTGCTATGGTTAGCAACTATATGTCATTACTAATCATGAAGAAAGGTTATTAAACTTCTGAAATTTAAGTCAGGTAAAATTGTGAGACCATGACACGTTTTTAAATAGTATTTCTGAATGTTTGTATTTGTGTTTGAGTAGGGTATTATTTGGAACCAGTTAATTAAGGGACTTAATTTAAGGCCTCTTAAACCTTTAAAATAATTGACATTTTCCCTTGGCTGATTCGATCTGATTCCAAGGTTTAGGGAGAAATTTTACATGCCTTCATGTTTCCTGCTGTGTTCCTTTGAGATAAGAAATCCTTGTTCTTTGAAAAGAAAGAAAATTCAGCTTTTGTGAATTGATAGAGTTTTTTCTAGTTGGATTTTTTTTTCATCTGTTGGCTAAGAAATAATTGTTTTGTTCCTGTGCCAACTTTAAAACCCCTCACAACTTACAGCACGTCCTCTTAGATACAACCCTCAGAAATGTTTATACTAATATAGTATCAGCTGTAAAAATATTTGTCCTGCTCGCTGCAGCAAGGAACCTGAATTCTGCTTTCTAGTATTTTATCTAAATGGAATTTCTCTCATACACCCAGTGACTTGGAAAACACTGGTTTAGACAAGGGCTCCATAAATCAGAAGTGTAATTTTTTAAGATCTCAGCAGTGCAGGGGGGGATGTTCCTGTGTCAGGAGTGATCACTGAATGTTAGGATTAAATACTTAAAACTGGTTGTGCACTTTAATTTATATAGTTCTACAGATGTAGAGAAACTGTTTTCTCTTTATCAAAGAAGCTGAGATTGTTTCCTCTTGGTGTCTCGTGAGGGAATTGTCGTCCTTCCCTCAGGCTGCCAGGGCGGGGATTTGTGCCGGAAAGAAAGAAAGTTAAGCAGAGCTGGAACAGGGAGCTGGGAGCTGGAGCAGGGAGCTGGGAGCTGGAGCAGGGAGCTGGAGCAGGGAGCTGGGAGCTGGAACAGGGAGCTGGAGCAGGGAGCTGGGAGCTGGAGCTGGAGCAGGGAGAATCATAGAATAGATTGGGTTGGAAAAGACCTCCAAGATCATCAAGTCCAACCCCTGATCCAACTCCAGTTACTATATCATGGCACTAAGGGCCACATCCAATCTCTGTTTAAAAACCTCCAGGGATGGTGAATCCACCACCTCTCTGGGTAGGCTGTTCCAATGCCTGATTACCCTCTCTGTAAAGAATTTCTTCCTAACATCTAACCTAAACCTCCCCTGGCAGAGCTTGAGCCCATGTCCTCTTGTCCTATTGTTGGTTGCCTGGGAGAAGAGACCAACCCCCACGTGGCTATAACCTCCCTTCAGGTAGTTGAAGAGAGTGATGAGGTCACCTCTAAGCCTTCTCTTCTCCAGACTAAACAACCCCAGCTCCCTCAGCCTCTCCTCACAGGACTTGTGCTCAAGTCCCTTTACCAGCCTCGTTGCTCTTCTCTGGACCCGCTCCAGCACCTCAATATCCTTCCTGAACTGAGGGGCCCAGAGCTGAACACAATACTCAAGGTGTGGCCTCACCAATGCAGAGTACAGGGGAAGGATCACTTCCCTGCTCCTGCTGGCCACACTGTTCTTGATGCAGGCCAGGATCCATTGGCCTTCTTGGCCACCTGGGCACACTGCTGGCTCATGTTCAGCCTCCTGTCGATCAGCACCCCCAGGTCCCTTTCTGCTCTGTGCTCTGCTCCAGCCACTCTGTGCCCAGTCTGTAGCGCTGCAGGGGGAGCTGGAACTGGGAGCTGGAGCTGGAGCAGGGAACTGGGAGCTGGAACAGGGAGCTGGGAGCTGGAGCAGGGAGCTGGAGCTGGGAGCTGGAACAGGGAGCTGGGAGCTGGAGCAGGGAGCTGGGAGCTGGAGCAGGGAGCTGGGAGCTGGAACAGGGAGCTGGAACAGGTAGCTGGGAGCTGGAACAGGGAGCTGGAACAGGGAACAGGGAGCTGGGAGGTGGAACAGGGAGCTGGGAGGTGGAACAGGGAGCTGGGAGCTGGAACAGGGAGCTGGGAGCTGGAACAGGGAGCTGGGAGCTGGAACAGGGAGCTGGAACAGGGAGCTGGGAGCGGGAGCAGGGCAGAAGGGATGCTGTGGCAGCTGCTTAGCCTTGTTGCCTTCAGAGCAGCCTAAAAAGCAGGAAGGCTGAACTGAAAGGGTGTTGTAAAAGCCAACTTCCTGAGCTTGGAAAGCCCTGCGTGGACACAGGGGCAGCTGAGGCACTTAACAGTAGAAGAAAGCATGAGCTTGGCTTTGCTGTGGGAAAAATCCCTGAATTTCCGAACAGGTTCCCCCTTCTATTTGATAAGTTCATTTTCTGATCCTTTCCAAAGAGATTTTTCCCAAATCTATTTGCACAAGTAAGGAATCACATCCTGAGCTATTTCCTGTCCATCTTTTGAAATACCTTACACTTTGTGCATGAGTTTGGCATCAGATGAGTGACAGGACAGGAGGGACGAAACATCTGGAGTGGTTTGGGAAGCTCCGTGGCCAACGAGATAAAATCAGTAAGTGTGACTCCCTTGTCCTTTCTGGTCCCAGAACAACATTTGACCCTCATTTTGTAGCAGGTATCCACAGGCACTTGGTGATAATTCCTATGTAAAATCACAATGGAAATAAGCACTGAACTCCTCAATTCCAATAAATCCTGTGCTGTGTCATGGTCTTCCAGCCTGCTTTAAGTATAGTGTCTTTTAACTGGATTTTCAACTTACTCCCTTAGTTTTCCAGTTTTTCAGTTCCCAATTAATTCACTTATAAAGGCTTACAGCTTGCAAGGGGAGGGAGGGGAGAGTTTGAGCACTTTCCCATGGGAAAGTAAATAGAACTTCTCAAAAAATGGTGATTTTTTTCCAAACTTGGTCATTGTCATAATGATTATTTACCTACTTAGACCTTCAGAGGTAGAATTTTGTCAGTATTTCTTCATATATATAAAGTGTTCTGTGTGTTTTCGTGTGGATTTTGAGGTAAATTTTGCAGCATCTAGGAGGGTTCTGCTTTTCCTGGGAAATGCAAATGGAGTTCCACTGGGGTGGAACTGAATTGTAGCTGCTTAAGTAGATGAGGATAATTAATTTGGGGAGAAAACCCACTTCCTTATTGGATCAGATTTAGGAAAGGGTGTCCCTCGAGGCTCTTTGTAAAGCCACATCCCTGCAGCTGCCACATCCCATTGTCCCTGGGTAATACTGGGTGGGAATTATTATTAGAAGTGGAAAAAAAAGGGAAGGGAATGGGAGTTTGGAGGAAAGGAGTTAAAGCTGGAGCTGCTGTGGCAAAGCTGGGTGTCGTGTGTGGCTTCATATGAGTCCAGCAGGACTTTGCTGATGGGCAACAAAAGGCTTCTAATTATTGCTGGGTTTCTTCCCTCCTCAGGGAAGAATCCGTAAAAACATGGCTTGCATTTTTAATGAGGGAAAGCCTCTGGAGAAAGTCCTCACAGAAATAATGAGCTCTTTAATTCTTTTAAAGGAGGGAAAGGAAAAATTCTTCAAAGTTCGTAATTTCCTTTTTGTTTAAAAAAAAATTAGATTTTTTTTTTTCCCCATTGGAGCATTTCTGACTATTTTTTTAACCCTTTCACAGAAACCTTTTAGGCTTGCTTTAAAAAAAACCCGCAAACTTTTCTCTTTCAGAATTTTGAGCCCAACCAGCAGTTTCCAAGATATTTGGACCCTCTATAACTTCCTCATAAGGCACGAGGTAGGAGGTTTTTTGGAGTGTTCAGTCACTTCACTCACAGTTTTTATTTCCAGGAGCTCTGAGATTGTGTCTCATCACTCTGTTTCCACTTCTGTTTTGTTTCTTTGCCCTTATTTATGAGATGTTGAAACATAAAGATACATTTTTGGTTGGCACCTGCCAAATGTACTCAGATTTCTACCAGTTCTTTGTGTGACTTTCTGAGCACTTCTTTGGTGGGAACGAGTCTCTGTTGGAGTAAAAAGCCTTGAAAGGAATGTTTTCAGTAGAACATTTTTCTGTTTAGAGTATTACATATTTCAGAGGCTTTCAGTGCTGTCCTATACAGGAAAATATATCTGGGGTTGGGGCCTGTGCGTCTGTTTTTGGAACTGATGTGATGTATCTTTGAGAGGAGTGTGTGTACATATACACGTGTGTGTGTGTATACATGTGTGTATGTAACTACTGGGTAAATTAAGGAGGGGGATGTATAAGGTCTTTTCAGATTTGTGCAGAAATGGTTAGAAAATGAAGCTGCAGATTGTAATATTTGATTTTACAGCACACAGGATGACTTCTTTAATGTACTCTCTCAACCTGAGAGCTGTTAGGTGATACAACACCTGTATGTTATACTGATGTACATATGTACACATACATACATACCTATTGGGTATGTGATATTTGATAAATTGCTGTATTCATTCGTTGTTTTAGGTGAATAACAGTCTGAAATTCACTGCTGAGGAGCTTTATGGGTGTGTTTCCCAGGAGCTGTATAGGTAAGGCATTGCCTGAGCATACAGGGGAGGGTTGAGGCAGCATTTTAACATGGATTAGCATGGATTGAGCATGCATCTTAACAGGGATTAACCAAGGTCCCCTGAGAGAAATCACTTGGGTAAATACAAAACCCCCTTTGCAGGAGAGGTACAGGGAAAATGAGTGGGGATTGATTTTATTTCCTGAGCAGGGAGGAGCAGCAGAGACACCACAACCCCCATTCACATCTCCCTGCACTGCTGGGAGGGGAGGGAATGGGGAGCAGGGAATCGGGTGAAGTTGGGCCCAGGAAGAAGGGAGCAGTTTGGAGATTTGGGTTGATTTCTCTCTCTCCTGCTGTGATGTGCTTGGGAATTCATTAAGGTGATTCTCCTGAGTCACGGTGGTGGCTGCTGAGTCTGCCCCATCCTGATCCCGACCCAGCAGCCTTTTGTTACATTCTCCTCCCCTGTCCAGCTGAGGAAGGTGGTGACAGTGGCTTTGGTGGGCACTGGGGTCAGCCCACCACATGGATGGATTAAAAGGAGTTGATCCAAGTGATAAAAGCAGTTCTGGCTGTTGGCTCTAGACCTGCATCAACACAGGCAGAAAGAAAAGAATGTGTGGAAATTTGTGCTCAGCGGAGTAGAAAAAAAAAATATTTAGGAGACTGGTCTGGCTCAAGCTGCACTTGGGGAATTCAGGGATGGGGTTTTTCCTCTTTTTTTGAGGAGTAGCTTTTAAATGATATTTTGAGAAATAATCTCTTGGAATCCAAAGTTATGGAATGTTTACAAGAGATCAGGTTTGGATCCTCTTCTGAGGGAAAGGTGTAAAAGGGTGTAGGCAAGAGAATCGTTCTGGGTGTAAATACAGTGTATGCAAGTATGAAAGATGGTTTGAATGGGACCTTCCAGAATCCCCAATGCGTCCAGAAAGCTGGAGGATGTAAGTGACTGATTCTTCCACCTTCACCTGACCCAGGGAAAGTGAGCCTGCTGCAGCTGGGGGGTGGCTGTTGTAAGGAATTCATGTGAAAGTCGCTGCACACTGAGCTTTATGGAGATTTCCTTCTTGAAAACCTTTCTTTTCAAAGAATATTTGGAAAGATTCCAGTCTGTGCAATGGGTCCACTGTGTCCTAACTGTTGTCTCTTCCCTAGGGAAAGGTTGGAAGTTGGTTGCTGCCAGCTGGCACAGCTGGAGCAGACCCTGGAGCAGTGCCAGGTGTCAGTGCACAGGGAGGCCAAGAGCAGGGGCTGGCTGTGACACCCCTGGGCTGTGACACCCCTGGGCTGTGACACCTCCGGGCTGTGACACCTCCGGGCTGTGACCTGGAGCTGGGGGGCTCAGCCCTGCCTTGGCCTCACCCAGGTGAACTCTGACCCCCCAGGGGAGGAGAGGGAAGCACTGGAGGAGCCAAAACACCTGCCTTCTGTTGTCAACGGTGCTGGTTTGTGTTGAGTTGAAGGAAAAAACCCTGGTTACCTGTGGACATTAAATGTCGAATTTCTGCTGCAAACCACCCACCAGTAGAATGCTCTGTCTCGAGGGAGGATATCCATGGATACCCAGGAAAACCACGGCTGGGCTGGGATGCAGAGGGGGGCTGGGATGCTCTGAGTGCTGTTGATGGGCCCATAGGAAAACCCTGGTGTTTGTTTTGCTGGTACTTTAGAAGTGACAAGTGAGATAACTGAGTCTGTTGTGTCCCATGGGGGGCTCTGGAAGATGGAAAGGGGCCGAGGACAAGGCTGGGAATGAAGGACTGAGGAGGGGCAATGGGGACAGATGGATGCTCATTGTTTTTAAAAACAAAGCAAACCCCACACACACCCCCTCCTGCAGGTGTGTTTGTCCTGGACCCCTTTCCAGAGGAAAGGGATGTTTTTCCTTTGTTAAAATGCCTGCTTAATCTTCACACAGTGGAAACCTGCTGGCAGTGCTCTTTGGGAAATTCATCATCCTTCTCTTGCCACCTCCTCCCGCCAGGGTGGGGCTGGTCATCCCTGCCCTGCAGGTGACATCTCTCACTGCGCTGCTGGTTGCTCTCCAGAACTGCCTAAAGCCCATGAAACTTTCCAAGAGCCATTCTCCAAGGCCTTTCTAACGCTACCTCTTCATGTGTATTTGTACTGAGACAAGAGATGACTGGCAAAGTTCTAAAAGGTCTATTTTGATATTAACTTTTGGATGTATTTGTAAAACCTTGATTGTACAGATGTAATTTATTGTTACATTAAACAGTGGTTGATTCTTGAGTGGCTCTGCCTTGGAAGCAGGGAAATCTCCCAGTCCCACTCGAGGGGTGTTGCTCAGCCCTGTGCCCCCCAGCAGCTCAAGGGACACTTCACCCCCTCCATTCTACTCCAGGCCTATCAGTGAAACGCCCCCTGCACCCATCCAGAGGGGCTTGTTTGATATCCCCCAGTTGTGTTTGCAAAGAAAAGGACACACAGAGAGCTCAGGGCACACTTGTGGTGCGAGGGTTTCCCAAAAGGTACCTTTAATGTATTTACAGCAGCAGCAGCAAGCAGTCAGTGCTAGTTTGGCACCCAGAGTTAGATGTGCAGCACTACACATTAGACACCGAGTCATCCCAACCCAACAGCTGATCCAGAGGAATAGAGAGAGTGAACTAAAACAGGACTATGAGCACGTAGGAAATCAAGTTATTCGTGTTCTATTACACTTCCAGCTTGGAATATTAGAAAAATAAACTTAAGACAGTTACTACAACACATTTTCATTGCCAGCTGGCAAGAGTTTAAAACCCACAAGAACCCCCCTCCCCGAGTTGTGGTACAAAGATCAGCTCCCCCAGAGTAACAAATGGCTGTACAGAAAGCACTCTGCATCCTCAAAACACCTGGAGCCAAAGGAATTCTCCCCCCAGGAAGTCTCAGCTGTGGTGTCTCAGAAAGCCTACGCAGCTCTAAGGAAGGTGGTGCAGACTAACTTACACTATGGCAGCAGAGGCAAAGCTCCCACACGGGGTGAGTCCACTGTCCTGCTCAGTCTCTGTGAACTCCAAGGTTGTCTCTTTGTTCCAATAACCACTGACTGCCATGTGCACTTCAACAGACAAAATACTCTGCTGAGTATATAAAAACTGTTATAAAAAGGCAATTGTAAAAGATAAGGTATTAGCAGAGGCATGTCAGCTTTTTTTTTTAATAAAAAAAATAGCCATTATATCTATTTAAATAAGGCTTCTTGTTACAGATTGTTCCAGTTACTGAAGGAAACCAAGGCCTGATGAGAAAGAAAAAAGCTATCCCCCACAAACCTTACCCTTCCTGCCCCGAGAACACACCTCCAGGAAGCCATTTCACGTGCAAAGTGACAGAACAAACACTGGGGTAAGCTCCTGAAATGATATGCCCAGTCTAGTCGCTCCTGCTTTATCTTCAAAATCTTTAAGACAAAACCAAAACAAAAGTTCTAAAATACACAAAACCCCCCTTCATCTCAATATTCTTTCCAAAACAAAATATGTACAGCACATTAATATGCAATATGCAAAAGCTCTGTGTTGCTGTTGGCAACGTCTATGCCCTCCCCACCCCTATTCACAGGTGTACCTCTACTGACACGCAATTACATCACTAAGCCTGTTAGTTTGAAAAAGGGATTTAATTCACTCAGAACTTGTAGATCTTCGTGTAGGGGCTCCACTCGTTGGACTCGGGGTTGTAGACTTCAAGCGTGTTGAGGAAGTCGTTGCCGTCGAAACCCCCCACGGCGTAGATGGTGTTGCCCACAGTGGTGATGCCGGCGTTGCTGCGGGCCGTGGTCATGCTGCCCATCATCCTCCACTCGTTGCGGGCGGGGTCGTACATCTCCACGCAGTTGACGGCGTGCGTGCCGTCGAAGCCGCCGCCCACGAACAGCTTGCCTGGCAAAGGAAGGGCAGGGATGAGTGCTGTGTCCCAGCCTCCTCCTGGGAACGCAGCCCAGAGGAGGAACCGCGGGGGGGCTGGCAGAGGCCTCAGTCAAGGCTCGACCTGCTTTGGATCTCCTGAGCGTGGCAGCTGAGGGCGGGTTGGGTCAGAGCAAGGGCCAAGTCCCGATGCAAACAAATGGGTGCAGCTCTGAAGTGCTTTGGGAAGAGCGGGCAGGGGGTGAATGCCCCAAAACTCTCTGATTACTTTTACCTAATCCAAATGAGGTTTGGCCAGGTTCCTACTGTACCATGTCCTCCCTGAGAAGGAACACAGCTTTGTATTCTGCTCACATCACAGCTTAACAGGCAGCATTCAGCAAGCCCCAGAGGCTGCTCAGGCCCTGCAGCAGCAGCCCCTACCAAGAGAGCCCCCCTCAGAGACAGCCCCCTCCCAGAGAGCCCCCGGCAGCTCCGCACCTTCCCGCACGGCCACGCCGGCGCCACGCCGCGCCACGTTCATGGGCGCTATGAGGGTCCAGGTGTTGTTCTCGGGGTTGTAACGCTCCACGCTGTTGAGGCAGTTCCACGACTCGGCGCCCCCGATGATGTACAGGAACCCCCCCAGCTCACACACGGCCGACTGGTGTCTCCCTGCAACCAAACACCAGCACGGCCATGCACCGACATCCCACAGCAGCTCAAAGGAAAGCTCTGGCCTGGGTTTTGCTTTGGGGCACTTTTGTGGTCACCCTTTTCTCCCCCTCCCTCCTGACTACGCAGTAAACTTACGGATGTTCAGGGGAGCGCAGCTCGTCCAGGACTTTGTTACAGGATCAAACACCTCGCAGTTCTTCAGTCCCTTTTGGCCATAAGGATCGGAACCACCCACGATGTACAGCTTTCCATTGAGGGCACACACTCCTGTTCACAAGGGACAGAATGTAAGGCAAGAAGGAGCAAATGTAAAACACCCCCCAGCCCCCTGTGCTGCAGAAGCCTCACCTGCATTGCAGCGGTTGGTCCTCAGCTCTGGGACAGGAGTCCAGTCATCGATTTCTGGCTCATACATCTCTCCACAGCTCAGGTCATCCGAGTGGCCATTGGACCCCCCCACAACGTAGAGCTGCCCCTAAGTGGAACAAACACACCCCCCCTTCAGCACTGGAGTGCCCGTGGAAGCAGAGGAACGCCTCATGGCAGTCAGCGTGCCCCGTGCATGCACCCACCATCAGCACTGCCATCTGGAACCGAGCCCTGGGTGTCCTCATGGGCGCGAGGAAGGTCCAGGTGTCGGTCTGCGGGTCGTAGCACTCCACTGTGCGCAGGCACTCCTCCCGGTTGTAGCCACCTGCAAGCAAAGGCTCACGTGGCACCGCCGCCCCACAGACCAGGTGCTGTGATGCTGAAGGGCTGCACAGGGAGGTGAGGATGCCCTGGCCCCCCTGCCCGTGCCCTGACCTGCAGCGATGAGTTTGCCGTGGAGCTCGGCCGTGCCCAGCCCCGAGCGCGCGTACTGCATGGGGGACATGGGCTTCTCCACCACGTTGCTGGGCTGCAGCTCAAAGCTCAGGCTCTTCAGCAGCCGGGGGGTGCTCGAAGGGGAGCTCTGGGGGCTGTTCCGGCCGTGCAGGAAGATCACACACAGCACACCGTCCAAAACAGCCAGACACAGGTACGTGTTACCTGGCACCGGGAGAGAAGGAGAGACCACCCAGGTAAGTAAAGTTGTGGGTCACCCAAAGTGAAAGCCAACGAGGGTCTTTTGGTTCTGCTTCTCCCCTTATCTCCTTGGGTTTTTTTCTGGTTACTGGTATTCCAAGTGTTAGAAAAAGTGTTAGCTACTGAAAAATATGAGTTTTAGGTACGAAAATAGTACTCTAAGAACGTAAGACAGCAACCTAAGGATGTGCTGGTAGGGTCTCCTCACACACCCAGAGCAAAGAGCTCTGCTGATTATTTAGGGACTGCCTATCTCCTTAGGATTTTCTGGGTAACTGCTGCACACCACGGCATTTGGGATGGCCCTGTAGACAAGGAATTGAGATGTATGTGATCCCAGTTACATTAGAAGCATCCCACCAATAATTTGTAAGGAAAAGCACTTCTGCATTCCTCAGAGACGCTGAAGGAAACCCCCAGGGAGCAGGAGGTGGTGGGTACACGATACCAGACACGTGTCAGACAAGCCCTGCCCGTTACTCACTCGAAGTCTTCTCTGAAGCAATGATTTTCCACTCGTGTTTAGGACTCTGAACAGTAGCATTTGGAGAAAGACTTCCAGAGGAGCTGCTACTGATCTGCTTGTGATCATTCTCACGTGGTGGCTTCTTCTGCAAAATCAAAAGGCAGCTACAGAAACCTAGCCAGACTCACCTCCTGCTACCTCTGCTTCCCTGAGCTACTCCGTCACTACTCCAGAGAACATCTGAGCGCCACCCCCGCAGAGCGGCGTTTATAGCACACCTCCTGCACAGCATCTACCCAGCGACAGCCAAAAACCACCCTGCACCTTTCTCCTGGGACTCCTCTCATCCTGGGACTGCAGCTCTCTCTACACTGCTGCTGGCAGAGCAGGAACCATTTCCAATCCCTGCGAGAGCCTGCCTCACCGACAGGATTTACAAATGCGAGGGAAGAGCTGCATGCAGTGGGCCACCACCAAGCTACCAACGAGAAGCCCCTCTCACAGCTCTGCTCCTGGAACTGGAGTTCATTATATAATGCTGGTTGGAAGTGAATTAACTATTCTCTTCATTCCCTGAAGACAAATTAATTTCGCCTCAGTTCCTCTCTATGCTCAGATTAGCTGTTTCTTGGATTTTACTCCCTTGATACTTCCCAGTAACAGGAGATTTCTGCTTTCTTTTCATCTTCAATTAAATTTATACTGTAGCTTATATTATTTTGCTCCATTAAGAAAACCCTCCAAATTTCCCATTTCAGCACAGTTGGCTGGGGTGGTTCAGGCGTTTTCTGCAGCCCAGAAGTTGCTGTGCTGTCTGTTCTGCTCAGCAGCAGAGTTTGTGACCACACACCCAAGTTTGTGATGCGTGCTGAGTTCCCCGGAGCCTGATCTCCATGGAAACTGTCACAGGCCTTCTGAAACACATCACCTAGCGCAGATAACCTCTCACAGAGGAGCTGCCTTGCTAAACTCAGCTACCCGTGAACATCAGCTCATTGCTGGGCAGCGTTTTTGGTCCTGCTGTATCTCCATCCAATTAACCCCTTGTGCTCTTATCTGTAAACTGCCTCGACCCTAACAGAAAACACAAACTGCTGTAATTTAAACACTTCAAAGTTACAGTTTTCTCCAGACTGGTGTTAGATCTCTCAGCTGTTTACAATGTCCAAAGTTGGTGATTCTTCTTATCA